GAACTGGAATTGTGCTGTTGTAGTTAAGATAGCACTGAAGCAAAGCGTGTGATGATTAGTGTGTTATCAGTGGCAGGGGCACGGAGCTGATATCCTCCTGGTGCTCGGGATCAGGTCTGAGCGGGGCAGCTTTTATCAGGTATTAGAGGTCCCTGCATTAGCACTCAGTGATGAAGCCATGACCCTGACTATCCATTAGCCTGACTCAGAGCTGAGGTAGAGGATCTATCTCATCATCATCCACATTACTCATACTCGCACTGACATTACTTCACACACATACACACACACACAAACCTGACGCTTCCATTAAGCACGCACACATCAAGGAGACCTTTTCACACTAACATGAGCACACATACTCATGCACCTCTCAAAAACACTCACATGCCTTTATCCTATATGGACTGCATAGCCTGGACTAACGTAGGGAGTTAGTTATGGAAAGAGGGGATTAAATATTGAGCTGTTGTATAGGTGCACTGCTGTTAAAGTAAAAAATTCAGGCTTCAAGATGCTGGTGCTGCTGTTTTTAGCTGTGTGACATACTTTTTTGTCCAGTTTTTTGTGTTGGAGGATTTAATGAGGATTTGGAGTTTTGTTTTCAGGGCGCACCACTGGTGTTGATAATCATACATGAATGTGAATTTTCTGCCTGGTCAGCGCTCCCATGGTTTTCCAAACAATATGCACACATATGAGGTGTTTTTTGAATGTGACAGAGGAAGACCATCTGCTACTTTTGTGAGGCAAGTTTAGAAACAACAACAGTAGCTGAGAGGATGAGTGTGGGCTAGTGACTGTCATTTAATATCTGCAACTGATTTTTAAGTCTTGAACAAATTTTCCAATTATATTAATTTACATGCAGATGTGATGCATGCAAGGCAAAGTAGTACCCAAGCTAAACATATTTACATATTTACCACTATTTTACTGTTATCAATGCATATGATAAGACTAGGCAAAGTCTAGTTTTGCCAGACTGCCATCAACTGTGTAGCATTTGTCAGACAAATGTCAACAGCATTTCAGCAACATAGAGGCAATCAGTTATGTAGGGTCCCAACGATATAACTTGTCCTCCCCTCATCTCTGCAGCTGTCCCTGCTACACTGTTTACTACACTCCTTGCACATGCGTGCTTCAACATAATGCCTTAGTCAGTCAGTAAGTGAGTGAAAATGCCTCTTCTAGGCAAAAACTAAAAAGACATGTAGGTTCACTGGTCATTTTGGATAGTAAATTAAATGGCTATATTTTCTTTGTAGGTTTTGTGAGCACTGGATTCTATCACTACCACTAAAAAAAATTGAGTTGTTACATTTCACAACAAACTACTCTGAATGGCTCTGTTTACCTCTCAGTGATTGAATTATGCAGATGCGGAATTTCTCTTTATGAATTAAAAGGGGTAATAGAGTCTCACTGGGAAAATATATGCCTACAAATAAGGTAACATGGATAAAACAGTGCACTAGAAACACACACCATACAATACACTTAGACATATACACTGACCGTATTGTATTACTATAATTGTAAGGCCTTATTGACCCAGTAAAAATATACCAATATTTATTATATGTCCAAAAGTTTGTAGACTGCTCTTCTGTTCAATAGATTACGCTACTTTATGGTACACCCACTGCTGAAGCATTGAATTGCACACACACAGCTCGTGCGATCTCCATAAGAAAACACTGCCAACAGAATTGGATGCTCTGGAGCAGCTGTACATGAACCTATGGTCCTCAAAGCATTGAAGGGGTATACAGCCCCCAGCACTGGGTTGTAGAGCAGTAGAACTACGGTCTCTGGAGTGATGTGGCTCCATCAGATAGCTTTGGAAAGAGTTGGAGTGGAGTTTGTGACCCAAAAGTAATCATCCAATATCAGTACCTGACCTCTTCATATTCTTATTCTCATTAGAGGTCTGGACCTGATCTCCTAAAGCTGCTTTGAGAAAACATCTGTTGTAAAAAGCAGCACGCAAACAAAACTGAACTGAACTGAGAAGGACGTGTTTTACTTCGAGAAAATGTTTGATTTGATCAAATGTTTTCACACGTACAGAATTACACGTACACAGCGAATACATCTGACTCAGTGCTAGGCACTGAGTAAGGTTCAAGCCATTGGCTCTGTCTCTCTGTCTTTCTATCTGTAACCTCTTTAACCATCTCTGGCTCCATTCAGCGGTGATGTCAAAGTCTCTCAGTGCGTGTCAGTGGTCAGGCTCTATTCTTAGTGTGTGAGTGTGTGTGTCTCTGAGTTGTGCCTATGTGTGAACTGAACATTGCATCTCTGTCTCCTGCTGTCTTATCTCTGACGTCTGGCCTTGTCTCAGGTAGCGTGTTTGATGTCAGTGCAGATTTTACGCCCCGGTCTGGCGCTGTTGCTATGACGATGGCTCCTGAGTCTAGTCACATTCTTATGCTGAATGGTGATGGTGAGTTACTGATCTTGGAGCTGCATTGGCCTACAGACACGATCCTGTCAACTGAGGTTACAGTGCTAGCAGCTGAGTCAGTGACACAGAGGTTCAAATGGGATCAGACGTCAGTGATGCCACTGAGTGTGTGTGTGTGTATGTGTGTGTGCACATGTAAGCGAGTAAGAGAGCGAGAAAAAAGAGGGTGGTTATGGATTTCCTGCAGAGACAAGTAGACCCAAACCCATACTTGAGTAAAAGTGTTGTTAGTTTAATGAAATAACAACTCCAATAGAAGTAAAAGTACCTTTCCAAAAAATAGCTGTAGTAGGAGTACAAAAGTTGTAGCACAAAAACTACTTAAGTTCTGTAAGTTATAGAACAGCAAATGAACGTCTCAAGAGAGGAGAACCCTTAGGATCCTCTAGGCCTTCAAATGCGTCCTAATGATTTCTGGTGATCCTCTTATTTCATTGTTAATTTTTGGTTGGTGTTAAAAAAAGTTTTAAAATCTTGAACCAACAAAAAGAAAATTATCCAATCGGTGTGAAAAATACAATGGGAAGTCAGTTAGATGCAAGTCTGAGTCAGGACCAAAAACTGGAGAGTCTCAAGAACAATTTCCAAGTCCACCTTACTCTAAGACCGAGACAAGACTGAGTATTACTAAACCAGCAAAGAACCTTTTAAAGGCTTATAGAGCCTTCATGTAATGTAAAGGTTCTTTACCAATTCAAGGGTTCTTCATGAAACTTTGCATCATGTGGAAATCATTTAAAAGATTCTTCACACTCACACATCTCATTTACAAAAGTAATTCTCTAAAGAACCATCCATTGAAAGGTTCTAAAGGGAACCAAAAGTGGTTTTAAGAGATGGGTTACGAGTTCTAATAATTTCAGAAGCTGGACAGAAATCTTTATGTGACGAACAATGTAAATAAAACCCTAAAACCAGCAAAAGTGGCCGTCTAACCAATAGCTTCCTGTAAGTTGTAGAAATCAAAAACAGCTGTTGTATGCCAGGGCTCTTCACTTAAGGAGTCACTTTAAAACTGCAAGCTGCAAGGTTAAATATATGTTGATATCTGTTACAAGCTTCAAATAAAACAGGTGAGATGTCTTTTACAAGCATTAAATGTTTATGTTTAAGCTAGAACAACCATAAAATGTCTGTGTGTGCCACTGCTTGATTAGCACTAACCTAACATTAGAAATCCCATAGAGGTATGTACAGAAATGAGCATTATCATAGCACCAAAGGTGATGGCGTAGCATTAATAGTCACAATTCATAACTGTTTCTTAGTACATTTAGCATCTATCAGCATAACTGAAGTTTGTTAGGCACTAGTGTCTTTTTAGGACCCCTTTGGTCTAAAACAAAATGCTAATGCTTAAAAATGAAAGATATGAGCAACAGCAAAGCAATCAAGATGTTGGAGCAAAAGAATGAAATATATATATATATATATATATATATATATATATATATATATATATATATATATATATATATACTGCGATGGACTGGCAACCTGTCCAGGGTGTATCCTGCCTTCCGCCCAATGACAGCTGGGATAGGCTCCAGCACCCCACCGCGACCCAGAAGGATAAGCGGTTTAGATGATGTATGTATGTATGTATATGTGTATATATATGTGTGTATATATATATATATATATATATATATATATATATATATATATATCTGACAAATATACTTGACAAGAAAAAGTACATGTTTGTTTGCTGAAGTATATATAACTAAGTAAACTAGTTACTACCAACCTGTGTGTCCTTGTCTTGGTTCATTCAGATTTCTTTTATGTACAATCTATACACAAACTACTCTCCCTTCCTTTGCTGCTCTCTGATCTCATTTATTACCACCACTCCCTTATTGTACCCTGAAAGTTCATACACACAATTACATAGTAATGTGTTTGTCCCTTTATGCTGGTGAATGTCAGCCTACATTCATTCTCTGCTGCAGACAGCCTTGAGACACACCAAACAGCACTCCTGTCTAGACATATCTAGCAAACAACTCTGATAAACCGGTGAAAACATACTGAATGTCCTCTATGCTACAATCCAGTGTGAGACAGATGCTAGTAAAGCAATGCAATGTTCCAGCCAAGTGCAAACAGCTCCCCATGTTCCGCACACCACTCTTGAGGTGTGAACCATCTACCATGACAACGTGTCATCAACCCTCCTAGCCAATCTCTTCTAAACAGACAGACACGTTCCCTACATCATTCCAGTTATTTTTAGCCTCGTTAATGAGCTGCCACTCGTCACTGAGGGGTCTGACCACTCTCAGAGGGTATTGGGATAATGAGGAGCTGACAGGATGTTGTTAGGGTGTAAGCTGAGTGGACTTGTGTGGTTAGTAGACACTCAAGGTTCACATATTTGATCGAGTTGATGATGTCTTTTAGCACATTTTGGGGTCTTGGTGCTTTTTTTTTCACTAATTGGGAACTTAAAAGTTCATACAGCTACAAAAAACTTCAGAAAATGTGCCTAAAGAATAATTTTTTTTTGTTGTTGTTGTTGCAGATTCTGGCCGGGGAGTTGATGGCTTTTTTCATGAAGTCAGAAGGTGCACAAGAGAAGACCATCGTAACAGCAGACTGCTGCTACTTCAACCCCTTGCTGAGACGCATCATACGCTTTCTAGGTAAGAGAGCATCATAAAAGCAGGAATTATGGTGTCATAGATCAGGAACAAGAAGCATTTTTCAGGTCAATGTGTGTCTCAGCTCTCCTACCAACCACAGCTGATTCAGTTAATTTCTTGGGGAACATAATTAGTATTGTCCATAATATTTGATTGTCTCAATTTTCACACAGGTTCTTAAAAGTGAAAAAATCAGCTAGACCTATTTTAGAATTCTTCAGTTTGTCTTATATCTTTGAGGAAACAACAGTGTTCACTCACCACACCCAAAATAGTTTTTTGGAAAGATGGCATAGAAGAACCACTTTTACATCCATAAAGAGTCCAACTTTTTAAAGAGTGTCAACTTTTTAATCAATATAATGATTTTTTTCTATAACTCTGTTATCAGATAAACTAGAACACTGTTGGCTCTCTTTGTGACTCTGTGTTGAGCTGCTAGTGAGCAATGAGAGGTGAAAGAAGATGAGGAGTGACAACCCCTCCACAATACCTCTCCACAAAGACTGCCATGCTGAGATTAAGTGGACAGCACACCTGCAACTTTGAAAAAAATCATGCCACAATAAAAAATGCCATTTAAAGATATTTTTAGAAAAGTTGACTTTCCTGCTGACCTGTAAAGACAAAAATCCAACTTACCTCCAGATTTATAATTTGTATACATTTCTGTTAAAATATAGTCCATCAATTTTATTTAAAAAAAAAAGGTCTAGTGCAAGAACAGGGGGACCTCAAAAACAGGCAGACATTGTATTTTATGGCTACTCTGAAATGGGGTTAAAAGGCACCTTTTAATGTTAGACAATCTTTTGTGGAGAGAAATCCATTGCTGACGCTTAAATAGCCACCAAACTTTTGTAGAGGTTGCCTTAAAAACCAGCCATATAAATAAGACATATCATCTTACAGGATTTGGTGTTTTGCCAGTTTATTTACATTTACATTTATTTGATTGCTCAGTGCGCAAAGAACCATCCAGGAGCTAAAATGGTCCTTTTTATGTTTAAAACTCCACCAACAAGTCGTTTTTAGATCACAAGAGAAAACACAGTGCTCCATTTTAATTGTTTTTTGAATTAGCCACTTTAGCCACAGGATTCTGAGCTGCAGGGTTCACTGATCAAACCCTGGGTGCATTGAGGGCCGCACATCCATGCCCTTCACCTGACAGCTGTTTTTATGGTCTTGAGCATTGCATTTAATGCCATGTTGCTCTAGGTGTGCTGCAGATTGGAACCCAAGTCACTGTACTCAAATACCTTACTTTAGCATGGCAGTGTTGACAGAGATCAACCCTGAGCAACGATCTTACGCTAAATAAATAAGGAATAAATTATCATTGAAGCCAGATGGCCCATTCAACAATGAAGAAATGATCGTTTCTAACACCTGTTTTTTGTCATCTTCAGCAATGCACTGATATATTCAGTAGCATTAAGGTGGAACATAAAGGGGTCACTGACTAGTGACTGATGAGGTCTATTCACTTAAGACAGAAAACCCCAAATAGTCCAGGACCAGGACGGGGAACCAATGCCATATTCCCATTTTCTCCCTTCATGCAGAATCCCTGTAACCTTTTGTCCCCTCTCTTAGGCGTCTACACCTTTGGTCTCTTCACCACCACTATCTTCGCCAATGCTGGGCAGGTGGTCACAGGAAACCAGACACCTCATTTCCTGTCAGCTTGCCGGCCAAACTACACAGCACTAGGCTGCCAGTCGAATCTCCAGTACATCACCGAGCGTCGAGCCTGCACGGGGAACCCACTCATAGTGGCATCCGCCCGCAAATCCTTCCCTTCCAAGGATGCAGCACTGAGTGTCTACTCTGCAGTGTATACCGTGGTAAGTCTTGTGTTTAATCTGCTGAAAACTCAATTTACCAAATTTGAGATTTAAGACCTGAAACAAAAATCTCAGTCCAGTTACTGCTGCCTTGCTAATATCGACTGGTTTTACTGTTAGAAGGTAAAGCAGATATTTTAATACGTAGGTTCTAAATTGTACAAGTGCTCGCCCAGGGTTTTAGAACTCCAGTCTTAGGAACTGACTGCAATGCAAAGTTTGAAGTATTTCATGCCCCAACACATTTGATCCACCTCTTCAAGATATTTTCCATCTCAAACTCGATCAGGAGCAGCAGATACTTGACAACTGTACAGGGCAGTGCATACAGGACTTGGGAACCACTGCTCTAGCTTGAAGACGAAGAGGAAAAAAAGTGTTTCAGTCCTGAGGCATATCTGGAACAATGTGTGTCTGTGGTCTCAGATGTACGTGACGCTGGTGTTCAGGACAAAGGGCACTCGTCTGACGAAGCCGACTGTTAGCCTGACCCTGCTGTGCCTTGCCATGCTGGTGGGGGTTGTAAGGGTGGCTGAGTACCGCAACCACTGGTCAGATGTCCTCGCTGGCTACTTCACCGGAGGAGCCATTGCTGTGTTTCTGGTGAGACCAAGTGAAGGTGTTCTGGGGTATCAGGGTGGGGAAATGAAACTCAGAGATCAGTGCCTGCTGTGGCCCTAATGTGTGAAAGATTTCCTCTCCACTCTTCCCCACAGGACAGTCTCTACTTGTAGTGAAGGATATTCCAATTTTCAAAAGGGTCAGGGGAAGTTTCTGCCAACCCCTCAGAAATCTTGTTTTGACTCAATGGAGGGGCCATATTAAACTTTAGACTTCAGGCCCTGTCCCAGCATGCATTGCATGAAGAGGCGAAGAACTAACTCCAGTGCTAAGTGCACAACACTTATGCTTTTTAGCTAAGCTAATGTTACGTATTGTGTGATCATTTTAATATTCACTGTGCTTGGCAATTGCAAATGATTTCAGCCTCTTGTAAATAAAGTTACTGTTAGCTAACTTTACCTTGATAGCAGAGGGAGCTAAATGTAGCTTTAACTACTTAACTTTACTTAAGGTAGTTGCCTACCATGTAAGTAGCTAGGATGACAATCTGTCCTACCTCCATTTTTGCATGTTTTTTTGGGGGTTAGTCCATTATGTTTTAAAACCTAATACATCCCACACTCATTTTGGCAAATGAGCAGTTATTTTACATATGTATGATGTAGATAAAATGCTCAGTGAGAAAAAGAACTTGGGGCTAGTAGAGGGAGAGCAAAGGTTACATTGATTCTCTCTGGGTGGTTACATTAAAATATGCTGTCTTTGTTTTTCTTGCATGTTTGCTACTACCCCTCTGTCTTTCTTTCTCTCCATGTCTCTCATCACTCCTCTCTCACCCTCCCCTCTGCCCAGGTGACCTGTGTGATCAACAACTTCCAGCAGACGAAGCCCCCGCCACTGCCTGTGCGACCACAGCGTCCTGAGTCGGTGCTGGGTATGCCCATGGTGGCGCTGCCCTGTGTGGAGAGTCCACTTGAAAAGTTAAGTGGCACTCAGGTAAGGGGTGGGGGCGGGTGAGAGGCAGGACTGCACACACAGGGTGGCCAAACACGACCCCCTGTCCCCCTCTGTTCTTGAGCCAGTGGACCCCAAAAATGACCCCCTAAACCCCTCCTGCACACCCATGCCCCTGCCTGACCACCTCAACATCAGCCCTGCCACCCCACTGCCCTATTGTACAGCTTTGGACCTTACCTTGTCTTTCTCACATGGAGGGAGCCTATGGTATTGTATTCCTCAACTGACGTTGCCTTTCAGTGACTGCTGTGCTGATTCCTGTCAGTAGCAGAGCAGAGCAGGGTCTGTCAGAAGCAGCCGATGCAAAGGTTGGGCACTGTTGAGCCCTGAATGTGACTACCAATGCATATACCCTACAAACTGCCCTCTGGGCTACTAGTGTCAGTACTGTGATGCATATGTCATCGAAGCAAAAGCCCCAATACTGTAGAGGCCTGAAAAATGAATACTAATCATGGAGAACTTTGAGGATGGAGACTTGATTCGTTTCTGCCGTCAGCTATTGTAAATCAGCACTTTTTTGCTGACTGGCTTTCTGGTGTGAACAGCATGAGTCAGCATTTTCCTGCTGATCTTGATGCAGTACCCCCGAGAATCTGGAGTAGTGAGTGTCTGGAGGAGGCCTGCTTTAATTAAAATGACATGAGAAGATTAGTGTCATCCACAGATCCGTCACCACCATCTTTCTTTCTGTACTTTCTTTGTCTTAAGCTCCCTATCAGTCTGGACATATAGCCATCTCTGCCCATCTGTCCCATACCTTTGCCTTTGATTTGACCATCCTGTCAAATTACACTCTTTTCTCACAGAGTTCATTTCTGTCTGCTGGTCTCCTCTATTGTTCGTCATGATCTCCCTCTTTCTTTCTGTCTCTCACCCTTTCTCTCCCTCGTTCTTTCTCACACTCTCTCTCTCCACCCTTACAGACTCCAAGGGGATCTCCATTCACTGAGATCACATGACCATCAGCCCTATCGGTTCCCCGCCACCCCCGATGTCCTCATACCGTCTCGCTCCATTTCCAGCGAAGTCTAGACCAACCGTCTGAGCCGCACGCTCACCAGTGCGCCGCCCACACCACCGGACGCTATGCCACCCTCCACCGCTCCTACTCGACACAGGTCTAGACACGTTCCTCCTCGCTCCACTCCATGAACCCTTCTTTTCCATGCTGCCCTCGGGGCTCCCGTGCACTGCTCCAACAAACAAGAAGTGACAATCCATGGAAAGCTCGGTCAAAGAGCCTTACTCGAGCTTCGTCCGGCAGACAGAAATGTTCCGGCATGTGCCAACAAGTGCTTGGCGTGACATCTGAGTTCATTATAGTTTGTCTGAGCAGTGCGTAGAAGCCTGTAGACCACCTTTAAGACCTTTGGCCCAGTCTAAACCAACCTGACCTATTCCCAGGGGAACCGATGGAGTCCATATGCTGGACTCCTGAGAAAAAAAAACAAACAAACAAACCAAAAAGACTAATAGCACAGTGTCTAGTACGCCTCTTTGGTTTCATTTTTTGTGTGTTTTTCAAGAGGCATGTTTATTTTTTTTAAGCATAGCATTCATTGTACATAATGTATTTATTATTTGAACGACCATGCCAGCATATTTTCCCAATTCCTGAATTGGGAAACAGATTCCCCGTTTCTCAGTCCTTAGTGTAAATACCTGGAAAAACTGAACTCTCGTCAGATGAACACTGCATTAACTTTTTGTTTACCTGTATGTTTGAGAATTTCTTGAAAGAAAAATATCTGTATGTTTTTTTTTGAGTGCTTGCTGCTAGCTTCCGGATCAGTGCCCAGTCCTTTCCCTCATCAGTGACAGGCAGCTCAAGGGTGCGTATGGCACGCATACATGTGCATAAAGAACCTCAGCATATGGAGCCACCATGGGCCCAGTTCTTCTCCAAGGGATTTCTTCTGCAGCCCCCAGAGCTTGGCAGATTTAGCTTGTTAGCAGCAATGACAGCATTCTGACGCAAAATGGCTTTTTCTCTCAACCTTGTTCCTTGTAAAAAAAAAAGAAAAGCTTCCCTAAGACACAACAATGCGCTGTCAGACACAACACCCACTGCCAGTTTACAGAGATCAGACTAAACAACCCTTTGTTCTTCAGGAGAACACAACAAACCTGAGAGCAACAAGGTATAGGTCCCTTCTAACCTCTTGTTTCTGTCATTTACTGTGGTTAAAAAGTCTGTGAGCTGTCAGTCAGACATTATAAAAGAAATATTTTGTGTAGGGTGAAGGTTTTGTCTCATTTTTAATTCTATTATCACTTTTGCTGATATTTTTAAAAACACTGTTAAAGAATTTATCAACATTCAGCATTTTCAGTGATTATTCTGGGTTGCCCAAGCAGGATCATTAAGTATTGAAGAAAGTGTTGGAACTGACAATTTCCCAGCATCCAGCTTATTCTAGGGTTTGTTTCTTTGATTGATTTGCTTCAAAAAGAGATTACATTTTTTGTTTGTGTGTAAGTGTTCTCTGAACAGCACTAGTCTTCACCTAGTGTGACAGTTTTGCTGCTTTTGATTTGCACAATGCTTCATCCACATGCATTACCTTTTTAACACCTTATTGTGATCCTCTTCCACCCTTTGTTCATTTTCTCTGCTGTGCTGTGTAAGGTTATCCCGTCTGCTGGACCAGCATCATTGTACACTCTTTCTCATGCTCACACTAGCGCAAACGGACCGCAGACATGTCTTAAGACCCGTATTCTGTAATACTTTACCCTCTTTCTCCACTTTCTTACATGAACCATGTTTGTACAGTTTTGTAAATATATCTTTTTTGTAAAAAAAAAAATAATAAGACGAAGAAGACAAAAGAAAAAAATGTGTTTTACACTGGAACCTGTGAGCACCCAAAGTCATTACCATAGTGATCCACTACTTATTCTTACATTGGAACTAATGATCACATTTGAGCTTTAGGAGTCAAAAATGGAAAGTTGGCCATTTTTGTGCTTTTGGGCTAAGAAGCCATTTCCAATGTCTTATTGTATGCACATGGTTGCATCTGACACATCTGACTTACTGTGCTGTTTTCAAACTCAGAATCAGATGACCTATATCGTTATGTCAGCTGACTTGCTGTTTATAGGTTTATGATTAAGGTGGACAATCCTGAAGACCTAACATTCGATTTATCTATGAATATTTATAGTCAGTTAAGACATTAAATTGTCTTTGGAAAAAGCTACTGGTTCGGTCTTGACCTTAAAAATTGTCTGTGACCTTAAGATGTCATAGGTGTGAGCAGTTCAGCTAATGTTGCTAACAGTACATGTAGTCAACAACCACCAGGTAGGATTATGCAAATGACATTGTGCTCCCAGTCAGTGTTAACCGCATTAGCACATTTGGTCAAACTATTCCTTTTAATGCCAAGGAATGTTCCCACCACTCATTAAAACTGATGAAGCATTTGGTGGCGAAACTGCTTAAAGATTCCTCCCCAAGTACAGTCGCCTTGACTGCTAGTAGATTTTTCACCAATCCTGATTTACCTGGATAGTCCAGATTTTTGGTTGCCTGTCAGGGACGAATGAATTCCATTCCTGTACACAAAATGTCCTGGAATCCAAGTATTATCATATGTTAGTATTTCTTGAATGATGAAGTTTAAACTGCTTTTTATCCGGTCAAGCCATTTGTATACAAAGAATGGGTGTGATTAGTTCAGATTTCCCTCTACGTGGGGGTGCTTGTTTCAGAAACATGTTTATGAACTAGGCAGCATTTCAATATGATAACTCCGAAGATTAGTTCATGTAGCTGAACTGACATCATAGACTGCATCATGATCACAGCTACCCATCCACTAAATTTAGTAAAAAAACAAACCACCAATCGAGTGTCCAGGAAATTTACAGGGTTGAGGTGGCAACCCTAACTATTAGATCATGTGATATGGAAATATTACAAAAATAGCACTATGACCTGAACATTAAGCCTGATACTCCAGACCTCCAGTCCATAGACAGGTCCAGTGATGGTGAGAGAATGGGAAATATTTGCGGATTGTGGTTCACAATTTGTATACCAGCAATGATGCAGTCATTCCCTTTGGAGATATTTAGTAGAAGAACTTTAATTTGTAAGGACACGATAGCTCAGTTTTGTACTGGTCGCCAGGATTTTCTTCTAATGGGAAGATCTGTTCAAATATTGGAGGTCAGATGTGGTGGCAGGGGTCAACTGAGTTGTTTTGAAGGTGTCACTTTTTCTTCCATGTTGTTACAATGTATGCGACGTTTTGTAAAGATCTGTCTGATGAGAACAATAAATGGATATTGCAATACATTGGCCATATCCTGCACTTTGTCTTCTGTTTTTCTACACCACAGCACCATCTCACACAAAGGAATTCAGTAATATGTACTTAGAATATTAAAAAGGCTATGGTAATTCTAATTTTGTTTGCTATGTTCAGTGCATTTCTGCATTTGAGAGCACCTCAGTAAACAGCTTGTAAAGATGGATGGAATTTTTGTGTTTCTTATTAATAGGACAATCCTCTCTATGGAGATACAGCTCCCCCATGTGGTGATATAACGACTGATATGAGTTTATCAGACATGAACATAAATGGTTTTCATCTTTTTGTGTTACCATGTGTAGTGCACAGGCTGTAAAACAATGAGTCTACAATACTAACTGATGCTATTTTATGTGGTTCAACAGGATGCTGAATCTAACTAAACTGATTTTTCATTTTAAACATATCATAGCTCAGACAAATTTATGCTTTTTGTTTCTCCTGCAAGCCAAAAGATTTCTCTTTCTGGGAGCAAAGTTTACATGATATAATGCAATATTCAGGACAATAGATGTCAACTGTTCATTTATGTTGTTCTGTAGATGAAAGCAATGAAACAACTATGAAATAAGAAAGTGAAATAGGAAAGTGGCACAATGAATGGCATGATCACATTTGAACCAGGGGAATTATTTATTCAATGGACACCAATAGCCTATAAAAATCTATCCATTTATCATCTTGCAGTAACTATCACCAGTAAAAGGTAACATCTTGTAAGTGTAGCATTAATTTTTGCTCACAGCACTTACTACAGAACATATTGATTTTTGGAAAACTGAAACAGCCACTAGAGGGAGCTAGTCTTTTAGTTCACGGTTGGGTTTGGCCGCAAACAGTAGGCTTTGGCCTGTAAATAGTTAAACTACCCACTGTAAGAATGAAGCTTCAGAATTGAAAGGGTAAAAAGACCAATGACTGTCACTCAGCTTACTCGCACACTTTTTTCCGGTTATTTGTAAAAGTATGGTATAAATGTATTCAGAAGTAAATCAGGCCAAGTTTTACTTCTTAGTCTTGGCTTTAGTCCATAATATTGACTAAAGCACAGCAAATGGAATACATTTTGTTTTCTTAAGTGTAGCCTAAGTGCCAGATAAAGCAGCAGTTTGGCAAAAAAAAAAAAAAATCAGATTTATTCACTTTGCCTCTTATTTTCAAATGTAATCAGTCATCCAAGATGTGTTTGGTGTCCAAAGTTTTCTTTTTTAGTTTTGCGCTGGATTTTGGAAGCTAATGCAGCTAATGCTTTTACTCCGCCAATTAGTACCATACATCCTGCCTAAATCATCATGTGTTTGCCACAAACTATGTTAAGCTGTTAAGTAATCTTAAACAGACTTGCATATGTGGATTTTGCTATAAAAACAATCAAAATTACATCACATAGCTAAAAAGGACAGCAGTTTGAGGTGTGTGGTGATCAGGGGCTTCACGACAGATATATGGATATGGATTTACAGCAGTTTTTACTAGGGGGAGTCTGGGGCAAGAAAAATTTAAAAATGGCCCAAAATGTTTGTTTTTCTGGAACGTTTAGAGGTAAATGCATGTACACATGAAGTTAGATAGTTAACTAGAAGGTAACAACTCAGTAGCTAGCTATATTGACTGTCATTTTCCTTCCACTATCTCTTATATTTTGAATTTCAGGATGTAATGGCATGGTTGAATGATGAAGAATGAATGTCAAAGCTGGTGACACTTTAAACTTATAATGTACATTTATTTAGGGGCCAAGGAAAATTTCGGTAGGCTAAGGCCTAAGGCTAGCAAATTACTTATGCAGTGCTAACAGGTGGGGTATAAGCTTCTATTACTTGTTAGTGACATTAGCCTCATAGCTTCAGTGCAAAACCAAACAAGCAAACTTCAGACATCAAACATGACTTGACAGATGGGCTATATTTGGAACTACACTGGGAATTTTTTTCATTTAACTCGTTTTAACAGCACTTTAAATCTCTACCCAAGCATAGTTAGTGAAGTTGCATGAGGCATTAAAGTGGCACCAATACAACTGCAGATGCTCAAAATAAATACATCAGCTCTCAATGTGTCCTCTGATCCTGCTGAAAGGGACACTAGCTGAGTACTCAGCCTGGTAAGTATCACGACCCTGGCTGAAGGAGGTGAGCTCATGGCTAATTAATCGACATCACTCAAGTTTTGGGGTGACGCGCAGGAGTGAACAGAGTGTGAGTCATCAACAATGCATCTGCTTTGATAAAGCACTTGTTTTCCTGCACGGAAAGCACTCCCGCTCCGCTCCAATCCAAATGCTGAGCCCTCCTGCTCTGCCCTTACTCAGTTCCATTTAGACTGATTTACACTGCAGGTGCATATACACACTTCAGTTCTATGCTGGGGATTGCAACTGTGTTCATCATCAGAAGTCACAGATCAAATGTGTTTATATGACTACTGGAGCGCTGGTGAGAAACAGTCATTTGATATGAATGGGATTTCATGACATTACTAAAAATGTAAAGTTCTGCACAGAAAATCTGCAAGTCATAGCAGTCGAGAAAGTTAATAACGGCTCTAGCTGAGCTGCAAAGTGACTTGCTGCGTGCCTTGATTGACCAAGACAGGTTTATCGTGACTGAGCCTGGGCAGACACAGAACATTTTGTATTGCTTGCACAAGGAACATGTCCAGGTAGTGAAACTAACCTGTAATGGCAAATATTTGCTTAAAACAGAGCAGTAATGTTTGGAAGTTTGGCTATTTTTTTAATTGCGGAAAGTGCAGAGTCATACCATGACTTTAAAGAGTGGTGATAGTTACCATCAAAGACATTTTGGAGAAAAATGCCAGGAAAACCGAATCAATGACATCATTGTTTCTGTATCAAATAGACACTGTTCCTAAGAGTCAATGTGATCTAATTATATGTATGGTCTATCCACTCTTATCCTCTTTATACAAGCACACAAATCCCTATGGTTTATTCACAAACAACAAAAGGTGATG